TTCTTCCTTCTCTCTCTTCTTCCCTTCTTCCCCACCTTTGACGGAATATTGTTCCCCAGCTTTAATCCAATGCCTTAGACCGCTCGGCCACGCTACACCTCAAAGACACAGCTTCCGGGCCACTTTACACCAACTTTTTCTTGTGCCACTTCGCCACAAGCACAAGCCTTGAAATATGCCATAGAAAGGCCTACTTACAGTTTTTCTCGATTAAACACTAAATAAAACCCATTGGCTGAACAAAGTTCTCAGTTGCCTGAACTCATTTAGCTAATTGTGCAGTCTGTTGTCAATACCTTACACCATTTCACATGGTAAAACACAATTTGCAGATCTCACTTAGACTTTTCAGCAAAACTCTAAACACATTCTCATTCTCAAAACACATTCTGCACTCTAATGCACATGTCATCCATACTGGTAAACACAAGTGACAACAATCAAATACAAATAGAGAACACATGTCATTGATAGAACACAACCACTCAAAATTGATTTAACCTGTTTCAAATGATGTTACACAACCAATATAAGCCAGTTCAGAGAGCAAACAGGTTGTTGAAAGTGGGAAGGAGAAAGTCTGAGAATGGATAGAAGAAACAATGTGAGAGGACGAGGACGAGTGCGTATGCGAGGTGGGCGACGAGGAGGAGGAGGGCAAGAAAGAGGAGGAGGAAGGCAAGAAAGAGGAAGAGGAGGACGAAGAGGAAGAGGAAGACAAAGAGTGGAAATATCTGATGAAATTCGAGCAACAGTCATAGACCATGTTCTTGTCCATGGACTGACAATGAGGGAAGCAGGACTGCAACAGAGTGCAACCCAATTTGAGCCGATTTTCTGTGTCCACCATAGTGCTGTGGTCTCTTCATCCTCAGTGACCCCAGAGCCAGCGAGAGCATCTAGAGAAACACCAAAAGACACTGAGGAGGTGAGTTTGGTCAAGTTTGTCCTGCTGGCTTGCTCATACAACATCAGTCAATGAAACCCGAGTTTCAGAAGCTTCAAAAGCATCAACAAATAATGTCATGAAGCTTCTGAAAGTCATTCTCCCATCGACTGATATTGTATGAACAGAAACCAGCAGAACAAACTTAACTAAAATCACCTTTTGTGTTCAGGAAAAATAAATAAATACCCCAAGGATTGAACAGTGTGGAGGCGAGTAAATAATGACTGGATTTATATGTTGTAACGTCGTAGATCACATGATAACGTCAACATGGCGGATGAAGTCCGGCTCTCATTCATACTTAACGAGATTTGGCTGTAGAGTGCATACTCTTTTAGCGCTCGTTAAGTAAGTACTTATTGAAATTAAGTACCTACTCATTGAGTAGGCGGTTTCGGACGCAGCCTCCCTCTCTACAGCTCTGGCTCTGGTTCTTCCTATTCCACCAATGGTCCACACTCCAGACCAGTAGGTGGCGGGAATGCACCTATCGTTTGTTTGCCAACCGCCATAAAACTCCAAAAGAAGAAGAAGAAGAAGACGCCGACGTATTACAACTTCCTGTTTCGGGAAGCGCTGAGTTGGGTTCTTGTTCGCTATCTAGTTAGTAAGCTTGAACGTCCAACAGGACTGCATAATAACCCGCGTGTCCGAATGTGCGTACAGTGTTAAGGAGCAAAAGGTGCGACTTACTGCATTTAGTGAAACAATGTCGGACAGTCCGGGTGGGTGTTGTTGTATATTAAATCGAAGTAGTTAGGCCAACTATGTACAGACCTACCATGCTAGCTTTAGACTGCTCAAATCGACATATACACATTAATTGCATATCTCTTGGTTATTTGTCTGAATGGTTTTATATGTATGTTTTAAACAAAGAACGATTAATGATTTTCGTGAATATATGCCATTATTTTACTGCTGTTTTAACATTTAAAACAAGGTCACCAGAATGTGTCACGACAGCAAATATACTGTTAACGTTACTTTCAATTTTTGCCAGTGCCAGGAATGCATGGTTATTCTGCTGTTTTATTAAAACTTTACATCTTAATTTAGCTGTATTATTTTCTTTTCCTAAGTGAGGTGTAGGTCTAACAAAATATATTACACCATAACTTGTCTTCAAGTGATGACATTTTTGTTTTGTAATGTTGGCACTTTATCATGTTAATAAAACAACAACATCCTGTGAATCTAACGTTACTCTATTTTCAAACGTTTCTGACAGATTTTCCACCAAGCGATGAGCAGAATTTAGAGATACAAGACTCTGTTACTAATTGTTCTTCTGTTGTGATGATGGAGGGACAGGGGGATAGCATGTTTAATGACCAACATTTCTGTGAGTAATTAACATATACAAACTTACATATGCAAATATTTAAATATGCAGATAATTACTCCTAGCATAATTTAAATGTCTTTCCTTTCGCTCTTTCATTTGTATGTTTTACACTTTCTGTGTCTGCAATACCCTCTCCTTGTCTTACTCTTCGGTTTTTTGGCAGATTGTGAGATGTGTCACCAGCACTTCATTGACCAGTGTGAGGTTCATGGTCCACCATTATTCACATGTGACTCGCCAACAGCTATGGGCATTCCTCAGAGAGCTCTGCTGACACTGCCACAAGGCTTGGTTATAGGTCGATCGAGCATCTCTAATGCAGGACTTGGGGTTTTCAACCAAGGCGAGACTGTGCCTGTGGGGATGCATTTTGGACCTTTTGATGGAGAGGTGACCTCTCAGGAAAAGGCATTGGATAGTGCCTTCTCTTGGGTAGTGAGTGTCAGCTTTGCTGGTTTATTATTTGTTAGAGTTGTAATTGCAATTTCAATATAAGCATTTGGCTATACAAATATTAATGCCATTTTCTCTCTAGATTTACAGAGGCAATAAACAATATACTTACATAGATGCAGAAAGGGACACTCACTCTAACTGGATGAAGTAAGCACTTTTTCTGTTTGCTTTTGTTGTGCGTTGTAGTTTACCCATTTGTTTGATATTTTTCTCAATCTTGTGTCTTTAGGTTTGTGGTGTGCTCAAGGAGTGAGACGGAGCAGAATCTTGTTGCATTCCAGCAAAATGGACGTATTCTGTTTCGTTGTTGTCGCCCTATTAGCCCAGGGCAGGAATTTCGAGTTTGGTATGCTGAGGAATATGCTCAAGGACTTGGCATCATCTGGGATAAGATCTGGGATAAAAAATGCATTTCTCTAGGTAACTACATCTTGGATTTTTACCACCTCTGTGGCATCTTTGTTCCATATTGTCAAATAGAAGTTTCTTTTATATTCATGCTGTGGCATTATCTGACTGAATGTTTCTTTAAAGGGGTCATATGATGCTGCTAAAAAGAACATTATTTGGTGTATTTGGTGTAATGAAATGTGTTAATGCGGTTTAAAGTTAAAAAAACACATTATTTTCCACATACTGTACATTATTGTTTCTCCACTATGCCCCACCTTTTTGAAACGCGTCGATTTTTACAAAGCTCACCGGTCGAAAACGTACTTACGTGAGTCAGAACTGCCGGCATTTTAGTCTAACGTTACTCTGCCAGGATCAGTAAACAGTCCTCCATAAAATGTGCTGCACACATCTGGATATTTGGGTTAAACTGTTCTGGAACAGTGTTGTAAATGCAACTTAACCACTGATTTGTAGTCGTGTCCTCTTTTGGAAGACCAAACAAAGTAGTTTCGCTTTCACAGCGAAAAACACAGCGGCCTAGCGTGAGGGGAAACCCCGGCTTAGTCAGATATTATTTTATAATTCCTGATGTAATCCAATTGCTTCACACTGTCTGATAGTAGCTAAAATGACACTACTAGGAAAACATGAGAGAGTTTACAGCAGTAACTAAGGAAGGCAGGTTTAGCAGAGAGAAGCACCTTTTTCCTCTTTCACTGGTTTTTGAGGTATAGTCAGGGACAGGCAGCTGCTCTGCCTTCTTTCTCCATCTCCGTTCTGTCTGTTTATTGTGTTAGCTGTTTTCAGACTTGTTTGCATTTCATTCTTCTGTGGAACACAAAAGAAGGTATTTTGAAAAAAGAAAAAAACAGTTCGGTTCCGATGGTTTGGCACATCAGTATTTCTTTTTGTGATTTGCGATTTAAAATGCGATTTAAAAAAAAAAAATGCTAGCGGGAAATGCTGGCATCGTCTGCATAATTCAGTATTATTTTGTAGGGATAGCTAAATACAGAGAATGTTATGCATTTTCTGTTGATATCTGTCATGGCCTAATGGCTTTCCAGTAAATTGATTTCTTTTTTTCAGGAACAACTGAAGAACAGGCAAGTCAGGACTGTCTGTGTCCTTATTGCCATTACTCCTTCCCAACCATTTTTTATCTGCGTGCTCATGTGAAGCGCTCGCATCCCAATGAGTATGCACACTTTATGCAGACACAGCCGCTTGAGTCTGTAAACATAGACCAGTGCCTTCTGGCCTCTGATGCAGCTCCTTCAACCCATATGCAGCCAATGATAGAAAGCTGTCAGAGTCAAATTTCAACCCTAAATGGACAACCCATCCATCACTCAGAAAAGTCAGACTGCGCTGATTTGTCTGATGCATGCAGTAATGGTTTGAGTGACCAGACAAACTGTGTTACTGAGGTCTCCGGTGAAATGAATAAATGTGAATGTGGCCGTAACTTTTTGAGATCTTGTCATCTGAAGAGACATCAGCGCACTATTCACTCCAAAGAGAAGCCTTATTGCTGCAGCCATTGTAGGAAGTGCTTTAGTCAGGCAACAGGGCTGAAAAGACACCAACAAACCCACCAGGGGGAGGAAAAGAGAGAGAAAGATGCTGACAGACCTTCTGATATATACCCTTGCACGAAGTGCTCCTTCTCTTTTGTGGCCAAATTCAATTTGTATCAACATCTGAAACGGCATCACCATGGAGAGTATCTTAGGTTAGTTGAGAGCGGCTCGCTAACAGCAGGGACTGAGGGTGATACAGAGAAAAATTCTGACAAGCATGACCCAACCTATGAACCTTCTACTCGAGGGAGGAGGCCTGTGAAGAACACTTTAAGAGGCAGGAGTCGCCCTAAAAAAGTGCCTGTTGGACGACCAAGGGGGCGACCACCTAAAAACAAGTATGCAGCTGAGGATGAAGTGCAGAAGAATTTACCTATCTGCACAGAGTGTGAGCAAACGTTCTCTGATTTGGAGACACTGAAAACTCACCAATGTGCAGTACAAGATAATAATAAGATAGAGGAACCACATGAAGCACCAGCTTCTCAGCATGTCTGCGGTGAGTGCCTGAAAGCATTCAATAATTTTGATCTTCTCAAAGCCCATGAGTGCATTCAGCAGGGAGACGGATCTTACTGTTGCTCCCACTGCAACCTTTACTTCAACCGTATGTGTAACCTTCGTCGTCATGAGCGCACCATCCACTCCAAGGAGAAGCCCTACTGCTGCACGCTGTGCCTCAAGTCCTTTACCCAGTCTTCTGGCTTGAAGCGCCACCAGCAGAGCCACTCACGCCGCAAATCCCACCGCCAGAGCTCAACCCTTGTTGATGCCAGCATCTTTCCCTGCACATACTGCCCCTTCTCTTTCACCGATGAGCGCTATCTTTACAAACACATCCGCCGTCACCATCCAGAAATGAGTGTAAAATATCTGAGTTTCCAAGAAGGGGGTGTTTTGTCTGTTGAAAAGCCTCACAACTGCAGCCAGTGCTGCAAGAGCTTTAGCACAATCAAGGGCTTCAAGAACCACAGCTGCTTCAAGCAGGGAGAGAAGGTGTATCTGTGCCCAGATTGCGGAAAGGCATTCAGTTGGTTTAATAGCCTCAAGCAACACCAGCGCATCCACACAGGAGAAAAGCCTTACACATGTCAGCAGTGCGGCAAGAGTTTTGTCCACTCCGGACAACTGAATGTGCACCTCCGCACACACACGGGTGAAAAACCTTTCCTGTGTTCAGAGTGTGGCGAAAGCTTTAGGCAGTCGGGAGATTTGAGGAGGCATGAGCAGAAGCATTCAGGCGTTCGCCCATGCCAGTGCCCAGATTGTGGAAAAAGCTTTAGTCGGCCACAAAGTCTCAAAGCTCACCAACAGCTTCATAATGGCACCAAACTTTTCCCCTGCACTCAGTGTGGAAAAAGCTTTACTCGAAGATACCATCTCACCCGGCATCATCAGAAAATGCACTCCTGACTAAAGTAGTAATGATTAAACTGATGAATTTATGGATGTCATATGAAAAGGTTGTTGTTCCTGTTTTAAGTTTGTCTTTAATTCAGATTTAAGTTCCTTTAAGACAAAATTATCTAGTTATTGAAAAGATCCTGTTCTTGTCTAGACTGTTAGACGGGTCTGATCTAGGCATTTTTGTGTATAACGTAATGGGGCACAAAATTGCGGGGTGTAGTTGGTCCCCCAAAACACAGAGTCATTAGGCTGGTTGTAATCAATTTGAGAAAACTTAGCTGAAGTCAAAACTTTATTTTATTAATGACAAAATGTGAAATTGTTTAACAATGTTCTTACGATAATAGTAAAATAATTTTGTAAATGTATGGGTTGCAAGATGTTGCAAGAACTCCTGGGTTTGCATAGATGCGTAAATGTTCAGGTATTTTTTAAATGTTCAAGCGTCATGTCCCTCTGTGCAGCAGAAAATGCATACAATCATCTATTGTTGTGCTACGGTTTTTCTTTTTTCTTTTTAGTTGCCATACAACTGATCTTAGGTGCATTTCGTATCGTTTATCTCCCATTAAATAGTAGATATCAAGTAATAAACTTGCACAGATAATTACTTTTCACCATGATTTACTGTGATTATGATGTTGCAAAACTTGCAACCTGAAAGAGTTTTCATCAGTCTGGTTTGTCACTATTACTCTTTTAATTTTGCTTTGGTTACAAATGGGCCTCCTAAAAGATAAATATTTTGATGCTCATTTGTACCGTGGTTACTGTCATGTGTCTTTGCCATACTTGTATACTGTATAAAATGCTATGTGTTTGTCTATTTTAAATTCATCTTTGTCATGATGTGCACAAACCAGGTAGAAAAAAACCCTCCACCTCTAACCTTGACCACACCAAAGAGCTAGTTTATCAGAATGATACATGTGCATGTTATGTCTACAAGTTGAGATCCTTCTATCTTTCTAATATTACAAATTAAATGTTATATAATATTTACATTTGACAATTTTTTTTATATACATAGTTTAATTATGTTCTAACAGTATTGCAAAAGGCAACACCTGGTACATGAATTCTACCTTGCAGTGGCTGACTGTGCTTTTTATCAGTTTACTGTTCATAGAAAATTTCAAAATGTGGGTCTGCTGATTTGATTTTAAAGATACCATAAAGATCACATCAGTTTTTTTTTCTTGTGATAATGTAAAATCACATGAATGAGGTTTTACTAACTCTGAAGGCCTCACTGAAGTGCTTTATGTACTGTATGTAAGATTTATACATAATGCCATCTGTGTCACTGCTGCAAAATCTCTCCATAAACCCTTGGAATTTAGAGATTAGTGACCATTTCAGAGAGCTAGAAGATGCTCATACATGGTTGACATGCACATTGGTGCTATGCAAATTTCTGGTCGTCTTGGAAACAATTTAACCTTCAAACACATTTATAAAATAAAATAATTAATTGAACAAGCTTTTTCTTTCTCTGCTCATTGGCACAATGTTTGACTAACAAAGAGTTATCTAATGCAGAGTATGTATTGCAAATATGAATTTAATCTGTTTTTTTTTTCTGAATTTGTACCTCAAAGGCAGTCAGATTAAACGCTATGTTGAATGGTTTGGGTTTTTTGCTCTGTTTAATACTCTCAAGATTTTACTGTAAAACTGAGCAAAGTAGAACGCTACATAAGATGCTTGGGTTGAAGAAGAGGAAAAATCCTCTGGTATCTGATCTTTGAGGGCTACATTTTTTATATATATTTCATTTACTTTATTTGAGATAAATTAATTATATCCTTGATAACTTGGAATGATCTGACATCTTTGTCAGCAGAAAGAATCATCTAATTAGTCACTTCAGAGTTTAAAGCTGTGCCATACTTCTTATTGTAGGTTATTTTAAGCTACGTGTGTATCAGTTCACTCCCTGTAGTGTTAGGTAATGTGAATGTCCCCAGTTTTGGTCATCTTCTGATACAGTGCCTTGCGAAAGTATTCATACCCCTTCATTTTTTTCACATTTTGTTATGTTGCTGCCTTATGTTAAACTGCTTTAAATTACTTTTTTCCCACATCAATCTACACTCCATACACCATAATAGTAAAGCAAAAAACAGGTTTTTAACATCTTTGCAAATTTATTAAAAATTAAAAAACTTAAATGATTCAATTGCATAAGTATTCATACGCTTATCTGGGACAGTTGAAATTTAGCTCAGGAGCATTTAGGGCTGGGTATCGAGTTCGATACTTTTTAGGCACCGACCGAATTGCCTCGATACCATCGAGTATCGAAAAACGTCTCGTCGTTCGGTACCAAATTTTGATACCTAAGGGGTTAATCTCATCAGCGTCAGTGAGCCAAT